TGATCCCTGAGATAGCTTGGACCCAAGCCATTTAGGGCTTTAAAGGTATTCAGGAATTTAATGCCAAATCACAGTCTAATTAGTTAATTGTTAATTCAACATTATGTCCAAATTTCTTGTTGTTGTTGTATGCTTTCAAGTCATTTCCAACTTATGGCGACCTTAAGGTGGTTTTCTGGGGCTGAGTGTGTGACTCACCCAAGGTCACCTAGCGGGTTTCCATGGCTGAGCTGGGATTTGAACCCTGGTTGCCCAGGGTCATAGTCCAACGCTCAAACCACTACACCACACTGGCTCTCGTGTCCTAACTACATAACCATTTATATAAAAAATTCCTAGGACACAATCAAAACAGCCATATAAGGAACAGTGTAAGGATACTGAGACAGGCCAACTGGACCACCCTGCTCCTTATGCTCTTGCTGGTCAGAGATCTTCCAGAACAGTTTCACCTGAAGCTCAGCTGCACAGAGTGTGGTGGAGGGTGGGGACTCTTACCACATGCAAATGCATTTTTGTTCCTGAAGAAGGCAGTTCAGACTGCAAACCCATCTCAGAAGATATGATGTCACTTACCCATATCATGAAATGCTTTTAGGGCCTCGCTGGTATCCAACACTCTCAAAATGAACCATAGTAATGGCTCAGACAACTGGCAAGTAGCAAGGGAACCCTAATGAAAATACAAATTATATAGTTATATGTATACATTATTATACTATGTCAATTTAAATAGACAGGCTGATGATTTTTAAGCAGTGCATTTCTTTTCATAGTCCATTTCTTCTTACAAAAGGGAAAAATGAATGCCAAATCCCTCCAGCTTGTATTATTTTTTTCACTCTAATATCAATCAAAAGAAGGTGCACCCAACTATTACAATATTTCATTTTATATCCTGTTCTGATTGTGTGAATGGACCAACTTATTTGACATAACATCCAAACAAATAGGTTCAGATGACTCAAGTAGTCCAGTCATGCCAAGCGTTGCTGGGAAGGCAAATGGCAATTAAGGGATAATCCCATGATTCTCTGTATTATGGCCAGATTCTGCTCATGTAGATCTACTGAATCATCCCGAACACACTGGATTGTAACAGCACCACACTACCTAATAGCCTTCCATATATCTCTCGATGCCCCCCCAACCCTGAATGGGATATTTCCTCCAAAGAGTTTTAAAAGTTAGTTATTGGCAAAGGAGGGAAAAGTTTAACATAAATATATGATCAAATTGGGTAGCTAAAATATTGACAATGTCATCAGTGCTGCAAAAAAACGCCCATACCACTTTCCCTCTACTAGATCTATTGCACAAGTCACTCATTCACCCATTTTATTTGGCCATTTTGTAATGAACATATAAAAAGCTATTAAGAACACAAATGTGTGTTAATCTAAATTTTGAAGGCAGGCAGTAGAGATAGTTAAAGGATAAACCACAATCTCTATCTGAAATAAGAGCATTGCCTTATTGATTCCACAACTGCCATGTGAAATTCAATATTCTTAGCCAATGAATACTAAGCCAGCTAGAGAAACAATGCATCTGAATTTATTAGTATTCAAGAACACTAGACCGAGAGATCTCCTACAGTTTTCAAGACACAGAAGGGAAATGATTTTTTACCTCTGTCTCTCTTTCTTTTTGTACCACCCAAGGCTGTAGGCTAACACTTGACATGGCCACATCTGAGGAACTAGTAACCCAAGACCTGGCCTTGCCACAGCCTGCCACACAGGAATGCATACTGTATGCCAACCACAAGAGAAAGGAGGGACAAAGGGCCTCTACATCCACATATCAATTTACTACAGTTGCCCATGCAAAGAACTTTGACAGATCTTTGTGAGGGACAAGATCAAAACCATTAAAAATAACTATAAATACTTACTTGTCTTCCCATATACCCACATGCCATGTAGGTAAGAATAGGCTGCAGCATCACTTGCACTGTAGTGGCTTTTTTACTAAGTGTTGTTAATATAGTAAATAAACCATCCCCAACTGATATGGCATCCAATCCACCATGAAAATTCTCATGTTTTGTAAGATGCAAACCACTTGCACCTGGGAGTAATAAAATATATCTGTATTAATTTGAGACAAGGAAATTATCTTTACTAACTACCAAGATAGATTTCCCACATTTAATCATGCAGACAAAGAGATCTTGTAGCACCTTTGAGATTGAGAGAAAGAAAGAAGATAGAAGGATAAGCTTTCATAGACTTAAGCCTACTTCCTAAGATATATGGAGCGAAGTGCCTAGGAACAGACCTTTATAAGCAGGCTATGTGTGTGAATACTGATAGTAATGTAAAACTTGTGGGTATGGAGATACAGTGACAAGTTCAGTTTTAACAATGGTTTTGGGGGACAAAAGCAGGAGGAAGGATGTTGCATACTGATTCAGACTAACATGGCTATGTCTTTAAACTGAATCATGTATGTTTTTTAACTACTACAAAATATAATACTGTAAAACTGTAGCATTGTAGTCTTAGGAAAACATATGACATGCAAAGCAAACATAACATATCTGTATCTGGCACAGGAATACAAATATAATATAAAAAAGGGGACTTTTAATTTTTTACAATGTTAAACACATTTCATTGTTCAGCAGCCAGTCAATAGCAAATCACCAGATTTTCTCCCCTTGTTCAAATGGGGAGTCAAATAAAAATAAAACAACAGTAAGACTTTTTCCTGGAAATCTGCCCTGCTGAACATACCCATAGTGCCCCAGCAGTATGCCAGCTATATACCATACAATCCCCAGAGATTCAACTATTATAGAGGAAATTTTATTTGGAAGCATATTGTTCTAATTTTCTTTAAAAAATTAACCAAGAAGTTGATTTTACCTAGACATAAATAGGTGCTGTTGCACGACTTTCTGTGGTGCCATCCCAAATCTCTACCCATAATTGGTTAGCTGGCACCAAAATACAATCTTTCCAATGAGCTCTTAAGACCTTCCTGTCTGTGAATTTCCATGGGGCTAGAATTCAGAGACATAACTGTATTAGTCTTGAGTATCAGTATGCAAAGGGATCTTATAGCACATTTGAGACTGAGTGAGATGTTGCCACATAAGCTTTTGTAGACTTGATCTACTCTCCACACATCTGAGGAAGTAGATCAAGTTTACAAAACCTTATGCTACAACCTTTTTCATGCAATTAAGACTAAAAAGTGCTACAAGATCCCTTTGCACACTGAGACTTTCCAATTACTGTTTTTATGGTCTGGTTTTCTTATTCCTTAATGGATCACTGTATTGTAAAATTAGTTATTTTAATACACTGCATTTATATGTTTTGGGTGGTACATCATGCTGGAATCTTTTGGATAAAAGACAGGCAAAAAAATTTTAAATAAATATTTACCTCCCCATAAAAACGATTTAGAATAAAATATTTCTACAAGTTTCATAAGCTGGCCTAAGCTATGTGACATTACCTGCAATATGTCCAAGTACTTCAATCTAAAACCGAAAGCTAACAGTTTGTCAATCTCTGTGCCTAACAATACTTGATTCTGTAATATATTGGCATAGGAGACAGCCTGATAACTATATATAAGGTTCTTTGAGGGTTTCTTTATAAAGATAAGTAGGATGAAAAATTCAAGAAGCAATAAATAAATTAACTCTTAAAATACTTACCTATTATCATTGCCATTGCACTGCTGTTACATTGGCCCAAAGCAGACAGAATCTGGCTCATAATCTGTTGGTTAGCTAACACTAGGTCAGCAACATAGGCAGTTGAACCTTGAGTACTGCCGATGTTTCCATTGCTATCTTTTCCACCAGAAACTTTTTCTTCATCAGAAACACTATCTGTAGTGCTGCTGGCTACCTGAGCTCGAGCACTATATTCTCTGTTGCTAGAAAGTGGCAGTTGCACTAGAATATTGACCAGCTTGAGCAAATCAAACATAAGCTGATCCCTTGTCATCTCTCCACAGACTGCTTTGGCATCCCCTGGCCGAATTATATTAGCAAAAAGTCCTCCAAAACACGCTCGAGCACCCACTGAACTGTCAGACCCACTGCGGGACATCACTTTGTCAGCACATGTAATGTAATGGTGCACCAAAAATGTGATGGATTCAATAACAGCAGAAATGGTGCTCACAGAAACAACTTCAAAATTCTGTTCAAGTGTAAATTCCAGAAGCTTCACTTGTGCATCCAGAGGTCCCTGGCCAGTTTGGAAAGCACCCCTAGAAATAAATATAATTAAAATTATGATACTTTCAGCTCATAAAAATCAACAATGTATATGCACTAAGAACAGATGAGTAATACAATCATTGCCTGTTCAAGCATTTTTTTTAATTTGAACATTATATTTTTATTACTTCCATTACTATCTGACTATTAGGTAGAAAGTAGGATATAATTTTCAAAGATTTAAATAACAGGTTATTCATTCTGGTTTTTCCTCTGGAACAGAAGAGTAGAGAACTAGAACTGAATCCCTGCTTTGAAAACAGCTGTTCTGTTCAAGACAAACACAGTCTTAACAGAATGATGATTCTGATTTTGCAGCCTTATCAGATTGTGAGCCTCGTTTTCCTAAACTGAGGGGGTTGCAGACTGCCAGAAATAGTGCAAATTGAGTCCACTTTTAGGGTTGGGAATCATGGGAACTGTAGTTTATTGTGGTACCAGAGCTCTCTGACAGAGAAGGCTCAATGTCTCGGGGGGGGGGGGGGGGGGGGAATCCCATGATTCCCTAGCACTAACCCTAACCCTAAAAGTGGACTCAATTTGCACTATTTCTGGCAGTCTGCAACCCCCCTGAGTTTTCAGTACCTTTTCAGGACATAATTTCCTAACATAAACAGTCAGTTTGTTACTGTTTCTTGCCTGATCTTCTGAACCTTATAAGTGTGATTCTGTGCTGTCACTTTGTTGTTGTTGTCGTTGTTAGCTGTACCTAAGTCAGCCTGGACTCATGGTGACCCTGTGGATGAAACATTTCCAAGCTTCATGTCCTCTGCTCAGCTCCTGCAGATCTGTGTCCTCGCTGAGTCTATCCATTTAGTACAGGGGTAGGCAACCTTTCCCCTTTAAGGGCCGAGGGACTTCAGCTCCCAGAATCCCAGGAGCTATTGGCCAACATGGGACTATTGGCCAACATGGCTGAGGCTTCTGGGAGCTGAAGTCCCTCGGCCCTTAAAGGGGAAAGGTTGCCTACCCCTGATTTAGTATGAGGTCTTCCTTTCTTTCTACTTCCCCCCGACCTTTCCTAGCATTATTGTCTTTTCTAATGC